TCAGCTGCTGTTGAAACTGACCAGCGGCTGATTCCAGGAAGCCCGGGGCAGAGAAACTCTGCCTCGGGCTTCCTGTAGTCAGCCACTGGTCAGTTTCAGCAGCGGCTGAATCTGGACGCCAGTTCCGACTTACGTACAAATTCAACTTAAGAGCAAACCTACAGTCCCTATCTTGTACGTAACTTTGGGACTGCCTGTAGTCAGCTGCTGTTGAAACTGACCAGCGGCTGATTCCAGGAAGCCCGGGGCAGAGAAACTCTGCCTCGGGCTTCCTGTAGTCAGCCACTGGTCAGTTTCAGCAGCGGCTGAATCTGGACGCCAGTTCCGACTTACGTACAAATTCAACTTAAGAGCAAACCTACAGTCCCTATCTTGTACGTAACTTTGGGACTGCCTGTAGTTATCAGACTCTCAAGCTACAGGAAGTTTCAAGAACAAAACGGACAAGTTTTTTAAAATTAAGTGCAAATAAAAATAGTGCCTGAAGTAACATCTGACCAGCAAAATTAGTTATTCAAAAGGCATAGACATACTATTTCAGTTCAGATATTTCTTTTATATAAATTGAGAAAGTACTTACAAGGAATGCAGATCTGATAAATTCTGAAATGCTGAGTTCCCCACAAAAGAGAGAGGATTATCATACAAATATCTGAAAAATTAAAAACAGATTTCCCATCAGTTCACATAATCACTATCTGATCATTAAACTACAAATACAAATATAAAAATACTTACATAGTTCTTAGAAGGGGATTTCCCCCAAATGCACCATTAGGGATTATAGAAATGTAATTACTGTGAAATCCCCTAAAATATATTGACAAAAGAGAAATAAATCTTAGAATATAGCATCATTAGAATTAATCAACTGTGATTTTGATTATGTTCAAATAATATACAAGCTCGGGGTTCAATCCCGCAACAGTTACACTGAAGTTAAATGGAATTATGCACAATTATAGGAGTAACTCTGAAGACTCAGACTTTTGTCTGCTATATATCAGTAATTAAAAGGAAACTTATCTGGGAGAGAAAGCTACATTCTGCATAAATCTATGATAAATTAAAAAACAACAACATATAATGATCAATGATTACATAATTTTGCTATTGGAAGCCCCAAAGCAGTGTAAAAATAGCTGATAGCCATTAATACAGATATTAGCTATCCAGAATAATTTGCTTACATTTATTACTCCAATAGCCTATTGAAAATGCTGTCTCACCAACAGCTTATTTAGCCCTCTTGTAATTATGGCATTGCTCAGCATAACCTAATCCATTTCAAATAACCGGGTAATGAGACAAGAGAAGCATTCCTAACTTTGGAGTCAGGATTGCTTTTTTTAATTTATGAAAAGGATAAAGAAAATTGGTAGAAGAAGATGTAATAATACTCACAGTTCCTTTAGGCTTGGAAGTGCTCTAATGGCTTCAGGGAATTCTACCATGTTGTTATAATTTAAATCCCTAGTAGAAAGAGATCAGTAAACACACAGTGCTAGCTACACATTTTCACAGGGGACACTTAATGTTATATTGTTTGATCTATACAGCATAGAGCAAAGCTATATGCTTCTTTAGACACTGTACTTTCTTAATGATGATCTTATCCTTCATAAGCCTTTATAACTAAAAACACAATCTTTTAAAACAACCAATAAAAAGATGCAGATATGGATGACAATTTTGTCTAATCTAGTCAGAAATTCCCTTAAATTTTATAAAATATACACTAGTATCAGTCAGGAACTAGAGAAAATTATGAGCTATAGACTTTGTAGTAAAAGACAACTATTATAATTGAACAGAAGAAGAGGTACAGTCTAGCAATGTACGACCGAGTACATCCTACAATACAAATCCTTGTTACAGTAGCAAAGTGGATTTAACGGAAACACTTTTCAACTACACAGTCAGCAAACCACAATTGTCCTGTCGCCATTCCGGTACAAGTACCAGTCAAGCTCTCAGTTTTATGCTAGCTGTTTGTTTTATCAAAATGCACAAGGTAATATTAAAGGGCAAAATCATGCAGCTCATCCATATTCTCCCACCCCATTGCCCCTGAGAAGGGATGCAAGACTGGGCTCAAAAGAATATACGTTCCTGCCACTGAGAGGGAAAAGATTTACTTTACCTTAGAAACAGGTTTCTAACTTTAAAAGATCTCAAATTACAATTTTACCCTGATAACTGACTGTTGTAAATATTAAATAAAGATGTATGGGGTTTCTGGAACAAGAAAAGCTCCAATACTCCCCCAAACCCTCACAAAGTAGGTGTAAAATCCCACACCTTCCCTTTAACTAATGGGAGCTGCCATGGAGTCTGTAGGGCCAGCATTTCAGGATAGATACTTTTTGAAGTCTTTAAATGTAACACATTTTTAGTCAGTGAAATATCTTTGACTAGAAATTCATGAAACAAACTGAAAGGAGATCTACAGCCCATGAAATATCATACAAATATTTAAATAGCTATGAATTTTGTTTGAGCCCTCCATCTGAAACTCAAGATTATTTTATCCAGAGACATTCAAGCATAAGTCACTATTACACAAGGACAGACGTAATTAGCACTGTCAAAGACAACTGGCAACTTTTTTTTGCAATATATTTTAAATAAGTTTATTGTTTACAGTAAGTTGAGGTAACTATTATTAGCTATAATACTTTAATTATAAACTAGGGCTATCTTAACTATCATTTCCAAGTCTTCTGTCAAACTATTTTCCATAACTAGTGTGGTAAAGAGATTTCTACAAACAGTGCAATGAATTAACACAGAAAATGTACTTACAATGTTTCTAAGTTGTCTAATCCATCAAAACAATTTTTTCCTATTGTTTTTATTTTATTGTTATGAAGATGCCTAAAGAGACAACAAAATTAATTTCCAAATGATGAGTTTCTCATGGATAAGTTTTAAAATGAACATAAATGTGACTATTGGATACAACAACAGCAAGATGTTTTGAAACCACCCTTGAAGGATGAGGGGAAGTGATGCTTTACAAAAATATGCTTCAATTCCTGATGATGTCACAATCGAGGAGAGGGGTGGGCAAGTACCATCACACAGGCTGGATCCAGGTCCCCAAGGTTAGCCCCTAGCAGGCTGTTGCCATTGTATATACATGTGCCTCTGCAGGTACAGGCAATGGCAGCTCCGGTTGTCTGCGAATTGCCGTTCCCAGCCAATAAGAGCTGTGGGAAGTAATGTCTGTGCTGCTTCCTGCCGCTCCCATGGGTCAGGAATAATGATCCGTGGCAATGGGAGCTGCAGTCACCTGTAACTGCAGAGGTACAAATAAATCGAGTGGTGGCGGCCCACAAGGGGCTAACCCTGGTGACCTTCTGCCATTTCATTGTCTACCCTGATGTAGGAGGAGACCAGGATATTGGATATAATGGATTGCCTATCCAAGGCCGTGTTCAGCACTTCTGATTCTGACACAACTACAATTAATTTCTAAGTGTTGAAGTACAGCCTTCAGATTATAGCTAATGCTTTTAAACAGTATTAATTCAGAATGGTACCAACAACTAGAGCAGTTCAAAAACAAAAACAACATAATTCCAAAAAAGTCATGAAGGTTTAAATTTTGTGTGTGTGTGTTTTTTTTTAAACTGACATTTTTTTTGAAAACTTAAAGCCTGCAACTAGCTTTGCAGCTAGTTAGGAAACCCCAAAAGTGATGAAATTTGAATTAAAAAATTCAAAATTTAAAATATTTAGACTAGCTCTGGTGATAACACCAGTCCCAAGAATATTTAAGACTACATAAAGCATTAGAAAAATATCACATAAGGATCAAGCCGGAGGCAGATGGCCCTTTCATCTCCAAAAATTACTATGCCTTCTTTTGCCAACTTTTTTCAGTTGTTAAAATTTTCAAGAATTACTAGGTTACGAAAAAAATCATTGAACAACCTCTGTCACTTCATTTTTTATTTTCTGGGATGCAAACAATTAGCCACCTGAGTGAAACAGAACAGGACACACTTCTTACAACCCCAACTGAATTAGATCCACACACAGACAATCAAATTGAGTTCTAAAGAGAAAAAGCTGATAATACTCACAGAACAACGAGACTTGAAAGATTTGTAAATGCAAAGTCAGGAATGTGTGTTATTTTGTTGAGAGCCAGAGTTAAGGCTTGCAGAGAAGGAAGGTTGCTGAGTGGATGAATGGGGACTTCTGTCAAACTGTTGTCATCCAGCCACAGATGACGTAGCTGGACAAGACCCTCAAAACTGTCTTCTGGGACTGCAGTAATATGATTAGCATCTAAACGCCTAAATGAAAACAAAAATAATTGAGATTAGTGAAGTTCACAAGCCTTTGTTAAGTACAAGTTTGGATTAAAACAACATGTGAACATTTTTAAAAACTAAAATAGTTTTACTGGAACAGTTAATTATTTTAAGTTCTGAGAAGCAACTAAAAGGGGCTTGAACTTCTATTTGTCCAAATAGACACCTCTGATAACTAATACAAAAAGTATTTTTTCTAATAAAGTAAAATAATTTTTAGAATTAAAATTATCTTTATAAAGAAACTGAATGGATAACAATTCTACAGAAGACTCCCACTAGGTACGGCAATACACATTATCGGAAGAAATTTACAAAGAAATGGTTTTAATACACATTGTAGACATTATCTTGATTTAAATTCTCTCTGTTGGTACCCAGTAAATAGTATTAGATACTACAGTATGAATGTGGTGCTTTGTTACTATTACTGTATTTCTCTCTCAAGTGACTCATGTCAGAGAATCGCATTATTAAAAATAAAATATTGAACCTCATGTCAGAGCAATGAATCACATTGACAAATAAAGATTATATCACCAACTAAATTCAAAGACTTCCTTCTTTCTGGCAGACTTCCCTCCTTTCCACCATGCTTCAGGGAAAAAAAATGCAACAACAAAGTTTAACACTATTGTAATCTGCACAGGATTAGCTCTGCCATATTTTTTTCCAAAATTAATTCTGATCATGGAAATTATTAACACCACCTCATCCTTATATAGAAAATTACTTATCCCTCTTTCAAAGAGTACCAAAGGACTTTCAATAATTATTTTTGCTTCAATTATCAACCTAGCTAAATTATTAGGTTATACAACATTTCTTTAGGTTTCAGGGAATTTAAAATGAGGACTTCATATCTGGAAAACCTAAAGTAGCTGAATGCCTGGCATCCGTTTCAGGCTCCAGACCTGAAGTACTTATCCAGAAGGTGCAGCTTTTACTAGCAGAATCAAACTGAAAGATCTTTCCTATGTAAAAGGTGACAAAATGGTACTACTCCTTGGGCATGACAAGCTAAGCTTGCAAACTGACTTCGTATTCTTGCACAAAAAATACTCTCTGCCTACTTACAGTCTCACTTTCCATGATATAGTTAAATTCACTTTGAAAGTTATATTTTAAATACTATTTCAGTATTTAGCATATTCTGTATGTCTGTGGTTCTCAACCTTTCCAAGGTATTGTACCTCTTGCAGTTTTATTTGTCTTGGGTACATCCTAATCCCAAGTTACACCTCACTTAAAAATGACTTGCTGACAAAAATCAAACAAAAAACCAAAAGTGACACAACCCAGTATTACTAAAAAATTGCGTATGTTATTTTTACTATACAGTGATAAAATAAACCAACTGAAATATAAATACTGTACTTACATTTCAGTGTATGGTGTATAGAGCAGTACAAACAAGTCACTGTATAAAATTTCAGTCTCTAGTGCTTTTTAGGTAGCTTGTTGTAAAACTAGGTAATTATCTAGATGAGTTGATATACCCCTGAAAGACCTTTAAGTACCTCTAGGGCAGTGGTCCCCAACGTATTGGGGTTGCCAGGCGCCTGGGGGCGGGGCCGCTCATGCGCCACGCGTACGGGGGCGGGGCCGCTCACAGGCCACGGGCCTGGGGGCGGGGCCAAGCATGCGCCGTGCACCCGGGCAGGGGCCGGCACCTGCCCGGGGGTGGAGCCAGCCCAGATTGCTCCACAGGAGCACATAAATGGCCCAGCGGGCACCATGGCGCCCGCGGGCACCGCGTTGGGGACCACTGCTCTAGAGCAACATGTGCCTGTGATTGAGAACCACTGCTCTATGTAACAAATCAGTGACTAATTCTTATTCTTGAGTTGTGAATCAAACAAATATAGGGGTGGAAAGGACCACAAGAAATCAGACATTCAGTCCTCTGAACTGAGGAAAGTAAGTAATCCTAGACTATCCCTGACAGGTGTTAGTCCAACTTGTTCTTAAATAGGTCCACTGAAAATGATTCAACAACCTCCTTGTGAACCTATTTCAGAGCATAACTCCCTTTCTAGTTATAACGTTTTTCTACCATCTCCCTTGCTACCGATTGACCCTATTATCCTATATTCAGTGGACATGGAGAACAAGTGATCATAATTTCTCAATGCTAAACATGCCTAGTTATTTTACAGGGAACACTCACTGTTGTGCACCCACCATATAGTAATTTCATCTAGACCACGTTTCCCTAGTTTTCTTATGAAAAGGGAGTTTAATACTGAAATAGTTCAATTTTTTAAAACTTTTTGGGAAAAGAATAGCAGACATTTAATTGCCATTAAAGGCCTAGAATTCATAGACTAGCAACTGCATATCATTGGCCATCCCTATGAGCTGGCAGGTATATACACCCTTATTTGTGAATACTTTTAGCCTGCACTGAGACTAGAACATTTCAGAGCAATTAAACGTCTGGTGATTTTTTAAAAAAGCCTACAGTTCCCTTAGGGTGAAAAATCAACTAGAAATCACCTGCATCTCTCCCCCACCACCAAACTCACACACCTCTCTGAAGATCAAAGAACGATTTTCCAGTGGAATAAACACCTCCAGCTTATTTCTTCAATAAATGCCCTCATTCTTTTATTTGTAAATCAACATACTTTTGAGACACATACAATGCTTTTAGTCCTTGTGATTATTCTTTAACAGCTCTTTTATTGCTGCTGCAGAGAGGTTTTTTATTTTCAGTGTGTCTTTTCTAAATATCAACTAATAGGAGATATTAAAATGTAAAGTGAATTTAAGTGTCACTAGCCTAGGTTTATCAGAGGTCCAAGGGACTGACTGACATAACACTTTATAAATACAAGTATTACATACAGAATTTTCACAGTTATTCATTTTTATAGTGTTGGAGATAAACCCAAGCATTAACATTTGGTTACACAAACTGATGGATGGAGCTGTATCTGCACCACTGTAGCACTTAGCATGGATACTACCTACACTGACAAGAGATTTTCTCCTATCAGTGTAGGTACTCCACCTCCCCCAGAGGGGATAATTAGGTTAACAAAATTCTTCGACCTAGTGATCAGGTAAGCACAGCTATGTCTCTTAGCAGCGTGGATTTTTCATACACCCAAGGGTAAGCCTACAGAGCAAGGTTATTTTGGAATGACAGCTGTTATTTTAAATAACTATGTGAGCATCTACATAGCAGTTGCGTTATTTCAAAATTATTTTGAAATAACAAGTGGCTTATTTCGGCGTTGGTAAGCCTCATTGTACAAGGAATAATACCTCTTCTGATATAGCTATTTTGAAAGAGGGGCTGTGTAGACAGGGCAGCTGCAAGTTATTCCAAAAATAAGGGGCCTCCAGCCCTTCCCAAGGTGTCCTGCCTGGCCCTTTGTCCACACTCGGCCAAACTCTGTAGTTCCCCCTTCCCCTGGAGCCCTTAAAGCTGCATCCTCAGGGGAAAGGGCTTGTGGCAAGCAGGAGGCCCTTGGCAGCCCTGAGCCACCCAGCAGCTGCCTCTGCCTCAACTTTTAAAAAAATGAGCCAGCCTGCTGCTCCCAGCCAGCCCTCCACTACTCCCAGGGAGCAGTCAGGCAGCTCCCAGGAGCCTGCGCAGGCCTGAAAGAGGCGTGTGTCTTCCTGGTCTGGTGCGGAGATCCTGGACCTCATTGAAGTTTGGAGCAAGGAGGAAAACCTCCAGGATCTCTGCACCAGATGCAGGAACCCGGCTATCTCTGGCCAGATGGCCGACAGCCTGACCACAAAAGGACACATCTGAACCCAGGAGCAGGTGTGGATGAAAGTGAAGGAATGTCACTTACCTCTAAATATTTGGTAACTACCTTGTAACTTTCTTGCTAAAGACAATAGCCAATGCTCTCGCTGTTTGGAAGGTGGGATAGGGAAAGGTTTACTAACACTACGTAGCAGAAGGACCAACATTCCTTGCTGGTTTATAAAGATGGTCCTTTTTGCCCATTAAAGCATTAAAGATAAAACTTAAATTACAGCATGCAGCATATACTTAAACTTCTTAATCTTTTAGAAGTCACTCCAATCCCAGCTTCCCCCATAGGCATTGGCTTGCAAGAGGCCTACTTTAAATTTTAGTCTATAAATTCAGGGTTTACTTGCTGAGCTGTCATCTATACTTTTATTGCCTGTCAGCTTCCATTCTCAAATAAGCTCAAACCTCACAAGTGGTGAGGGAGTGACAGAAAAACACCCAGGTGTCCTGAACGTCTCATAAGAGCAGAACATTAAAACTAGGTTTAAAAAATAAACCAAACGTGTAGCTTAACAGCTTTCAGCTACCACACTGGCTTCGTAGAACCATGGAGAGAAGAACTTCCACCTACCTCTTGAGGTGGTGCTTCTTACTCTCTCTCAAAAATGGAGACCAAATATAACCCACACACCCGCTGAGCGTGGTTCACTGTCCCATGCAGTGGCAATTCAACCACAGAGACAGAGACAGAGACAGAGACCGAGAGCGAGACAACCACAGAGACAGAGACAGAGAGCGAGAGCGCTACAGCCTTAGCTAAGAGCCAACTGGCTTTTAGCTCAAGCTGTAGACTTATGTACTAAGCCGCAGAAGGCCCAAGTTTGGTTCCGCCAGTTGACATTACATAAGCTGATGGTTTTGATTTTTTTAATTATTGCTGCTGTCAGCCAAGTTATTATTCAAATCATCAAATTTACATTGCTTATAAGAATTCTCCACAATTTTTTTTAATTATTGCTGCTGTCAGCTAAGTTATTATTCAAATCATCACATTTACATTGCTTATAAGAATTCTCCACCAATCTTCTGAGGATGTGGCTCTCATGGAGGGTGCAACACAATTCTGGGAGAAACATGAAACACGGGCCACAACTTTACTGAAAACAGCAAGAAACAGCCTTTAGTACAAACACAGCTAACCCCTAAATAAAGAGGCAAATGTAGTAGCTTTCTGTAGCATGGGGACCCCAACAAAGTGTAAAGC